AATTTAGAAATCCTTTTTTTGATGAGAGTAGTTCTGAAATTTTGGGGGATTGTATAACAATTCAAACCAAAACAAGGACCTGTGCATGCAAAACAATCCGTATATCATGGATGCCTGAACTGGGCAATGTTACAATGGGGAGGTGTTAAAAGAGCTCTAAAAACACTTTGGACTTTTACATCCATGATAGATTGACCAAACAATAACGACTCTTTCATCTTGTCCTCACTATAAACTGAGACAGTGGATCAAAGGCCGTGACGAAAAACGGCTACGCTGAAAATCCACAGAGGATCATAAACACTGACACACTTCAGGATCCCGACATTGACGTGAAAACCAGATGCAATATTAAAAAGCTGCAGCAGCATTAGCGAAGGCCCTTAAAACAACATGCAGACCGCAGCAGATCCTGCAGACTAAAGACACATGGCGCCCTCTGTCAGGGAGTCTGGGTAACTGCAACACCACAAGAGAGGGACAAACCTTGTCTCTGAAATCACCTGCTACACGGCAGATGTGAAGTTATTGCTTCACGTGAAACTACTGAGTAGCATTAAGAAACGTTATTAAAGCGTTTCGTCTACGCGGGCAAAAATAAATCTAAAAAGAGAAAAAGGAAATGGGTAATCCACATTTGACCCGCCCGCCGCCTACCTGAGGAAGTCTTTCAACCCGGACAGCTCATAGCCGGACAGATGGACAACGGCGGGGTCTTTGTGCGTCCGTCCCTGAAGGATGTGAGGAGCTCTGGCCAGCAGCACGGCTCTGTGGGCTCGGAGCGAGCCGGACGCAGCACACAGAGACACATCGGCCTCCAGCTCCTCCTGCAGTAACCTGGGCCGACGCATGGAAAGACTTTATTCCCGAAAAGGGGAAAAACATCATTACCGTTGACTGAGGGAAAAAAAGGTTTACGCGTAAGAGACAACATAGAAAATAGACAATAGAAAAACAAACAGCTGCTAAGCTAAACTCTAAAATCCACAGGGCCTATTTTTCCTGAGGCGGTCCGTTCCTTCTTCCCCATCAGTATCTCTCGTCCCGCCTCCACGACTGATCTGGGTGACCCAGAAACTAGTTGGCTCAAGGCCAAAAGGGCGGAACGGGATTCAATTGCCAGGGCTGTGTCCATTACAGTTATACTCTAATGAAAAGTGGCACAATTGATGCGGAATCACATCCATTTCTCCTGAAGCCCAAAGAACCACCGCAAAGGTCCACGTGGGCTTTTTTTCTCGAGATCTTCATTTTACAGGCTTTATTGTGATGCTGCTCAAGTTTCCTTTACTGATGTCTTATCTATAGTAATACTAACATCTAATTAAGGTATATTACATTTCCTAAATTGAGACAAAGACCTGTATTTTCCCTGATTATTGCATCTCGCTTTGTGAACTAATTAGTGTTCTTCTGGGAGAACCCAGTTTGTGAATACATGATTGAAAGAACATTACCTTTGTCATATATATATTCAAATTGTATAGTGTTTAAATGTTTTTACTTACTTTTTTTGTAGAAGAACTACGGTGGCCCTCTAGTAACTTAAAGGAAGCCAAAGGCTTAGGGGGGGGGTTCCGTGATGAACCAATCGATATTAAAGAAGACACGACTCTCCTCTGTCAGAGGTGGCCGTGCATGTGTGGAGCTGCGAGTTTGACATGTGTGCTCTAGAACCAATGCTTGGCCGGTCTGTAATTGGCTGAATAAAATAGAGAGGATTGACAGCAGTGCTACCCAACCCCGTGAAGAGGACTCCTCCCTACGGAGATATGATGGGCTCATTCAATAATGCAACCCAAAAATAGATGTCAGGAGATCCACCCAATGAAATAATCTGGGTTATTTTTCTAACTTTGTAAAGAAATTTTGGGTCAAACCTTTAATTCAACACCAATGGTTCTGATCAAACTGGATGAACCAGCAGGTGCAGTTCAGTCCTACTGTATGGAGGACAGAGGGCCATCCACAGGCTTCAGATCAGAGTTTTTCCTTTTTACAGCCCTGCATTGATTTGACTACAAAGGGAAACGTTAAGACACAGGTCTTTAAAAAAGAAATAAAAAAGAAATATATATATATATATATATATATATATATATATATATAATATATATATATATATATATATATATATTTACATTTTTGACCAGTGTGTTAACCTTTGCTCTTGCAGCTCATCGCGTGGTGTCACACACCTTACCTGTAAAGGTCTGCAGATAAGGCAGATGATAAACATCTCCTCAGCTGCTCTTTGTGTTTGCGCGCTTTGGCCTGGAACTCTCTTACAGCCTCCGTGGTGATCATGGTTCATTGGGTTCCCTAAGACAGAGACGGACAGATATGACGTCTAAAAAGGCTTGGGCCAATCAAGCCAGTCAATCTCATAGACTGGCACAGGCAACATTCTGATGAAAAAACTGACACATATTACTGGAATACAACAAATCAGGTCAGGGGAAATTCAAGGCTATACGATCATGTTTTAATCAACTTCACCGATTGGCTGAGCGTCGGGGTGCAACACCATCTCTCACCACACGCACCGACTAACGTTTAGCTGTGTAGCGACCAAGAGGGGCGCTGTTTTCCCCATTTCAAGAAAAGAACTTCAAATGGGAAGGTTTGACCTCGGCAAACCCGACACAGACTCAACTACAACCGTGACTAACTTTGCCTTCAATACAATGATTTAACGGTGGCGTTATTGTTAGCGTAAATAGCCTGAATATTAGAAAACCAGGTCATCCTTATCTTCCAAGAGAAAATCACTGAAAACATCACCAAGACTTACCAGCTTTCCTCTTTTCCATATTATCGTTAGTTAATTTTTTACACAATAAAGCACATTCATTCAAACATAACGTTATCTATTTTATTAGCTTTTTTTGCCCGAAACGTTGTGGTGTAAGCGGAGTAAAATGACTAAAATGATCCTATCGTGGCTAGCATGCTAGCGCTAGCTAACACGGCTGACGTTACCCCTAGTAACCATAACATTTTTTTTTTCTTGATCCCTAAGCGGAATACCAGGTGCTAAAAATCAGACCCGTATAAATGAAGTATGGCTTCATAATGAACTCGAGTATCTTCTTTAACGAGCCGACCGACTGACCAATGTTGTTGACATCCCCGCTACACGCTTTTCGCCACCCGCTGGGGCAGGATGGGCGGACAAGTCGTCATACACGGAACCTACTGCGCATGCGCAGTGTAAACGAGGGCGGTGCCGTGCCCATGTGGCCTCAAATGATGTGTTCACGTGCTGCTACTAACCTCGAAATTCCAACAATATTTAAAAATCAACGCCTCTGATGACAAATGAGAAAGTTATGTGATTTATCCGACCTATCTCGTCGAAGAAGGCCTCACGGCCGTAACGTGGGTCTGAATCGATTACTTGGCCTATTTGCGCAGTTCAAATTGGATTCAGCTTGTTACGTTTTTTTAAATGCTATTCTTTTGTTGTGTAGGGTAAGGTCATACAATGTACATAGTCAATTAGTAGACTGAATTAGCCGAATCATTTAATAAAAACGGTGTCACACAAGCTCAAATTTCTGTCTTATTCATTTATTTTAAATGAAACAAAGCAAGCAAACAAAATAGGCTAATGATACTGCTTATGAAAGGTAAGATAACTTCTATACTCGAATCTGTACAATATTCATATTATCTTCTGCTAGAAAACGGTCATAAGAATATCGAACTGAAGAATCCGTGCCTGCAACAACATTTCCGACTGCCTGTGAAGGCGAACAAAGAGTTTGCCCCTAACAGGCGCGGATGCCTCTCCTGCATCGTCACTCCTAACTTCTGATACCAGCTCAAATGAAACTATGTTTGAATCAGCATTAAAAATCAAGCAATAACAAACAAAAAAATCTTTGGTTTATTTTGTTTCTGATGGTTTGAAATAGACATAATCATCAAGCACTGGCTGAAGGATCTCAGCAGTAAATGTGTGTGCCGTTGTGTGTCAGCGCATCAGTAAAATCCTGTTTATTTAAGACCGAATACACACCCTGTCTAATTCTATATCAACAATTCTTTTTCCAGATAAATTCAAGGATGAATCTAAAAAGAATCGTGTTTGTTCTACAGAGGAGACCCAGAATAACCAACGTTAACTGCAATGCCACTCAGCGTTCTATATTTAAACTGCACCATGACTATTTCTGGCGTTTTTCATCTATTCTGCTTAACAGCTCAAAGTGACAGTTTGGAGACGGCAGCAAAAACACAAGAGGCGTTAGGGCATGTCGCACAGCTTCAAACACACGCCCGTTATCATCCGCCTAAATAAAAGAGCAGTGTTAGATTGACACTTAGTTTATTTATAAAATCAAATGGTGTAGAACTGGCTCAGTGGATTTCAAAATGCAGTGTGTAGGAATAGATACAAAAGAGCACAATGGTCAACCACATTTCTATACAGGAAGATCAAGATAACAACATTCTCTACGTTCCTCTAAACGTACCTCTGAAGAAAGAAAATACGTTAAAAAAAAAATAAAGAAAAGAGAAATCTCCTCCGGGCGTCACTACCTGATAAAGGGAGAATGAGAGCCACGGCTCCCAGAGGACTGTGCCCATAGAAGAGTGCAGCGACCCAGTGTAACGCACAAGTACAGCAGGACGACACCGCAGGACGCCGCATCCCGCATCCCGGCCCCTCCGGACATCTTTACAAACGCGACACCTCCGAAAGTTAAAAAAGGCACCATACAACACAAGTCTCAAGGAGATTTTGCAACACATTTTGTAACGCTGTAACCGACAAACTTTAAGGCGGGTGTCATGTGCAAAAAAAAACATCTCGACTGTGTGTCACACATGCTGCGCAGTGTCCTCTCAGGTGAAGTGTGCTCTTTGCTTTACAGTTTAAAAAAAAAAAAGTGAAATGTGAAAGGTTTAAAGAATGGTTGCATTTTCCGCATGTCGCTTGGGGTCGCAGAGATATCCGGGCTTCCCGGGGGGTGCCAACCTTTAAAGGGGGGGGGGGGGGGGCGCGGGGGAGGAGTTGGGAGCCTCGCTGAGGATTTAGTTCCTGTAGCTTTTGCGTCCCTCTCCCTCCTTGAGGAAGGTCCACATGAGGGTGTTCACAATGTCAGGCTGGTCCTGCTGCAGCCAGTGACTGGCCCCAGAAATGATGTTGAGGCGGAAGTGATTCCGGATGTACAGGCGGCATGCCTCCGCCATTTCCTGCTCCAAGAAAGCGTCCCGCTCGCCCCACAGCAGCAGGACCGGGGACCTGACCTGATTCTGGCTCAGGGGGAGGGAGCTAAGGAAGGGAAGAGGGGGGAAAAACCTGAGTGAATTCAAAATGTTGTTTTAAAAAAAACTAAAAACAGAAGTACTTAACAAATTACATTTTTTAAGTAGTTCTGAAGGCCGTTTTTACTGCCAATTAGTCTCTTATACGGTCTCCATTGTCATGTGCTTATGTTACTCCGGTGTTACTGCTCCCGTTTCTGAGATGTGATCTGCAGAAATTGGGTCGATGGGTGTTTCTCTATTAACAGAACATTTACTGTGTGTTCACGTATATGTGGGAACTACTATGGAGAGACAGATCGTACACGGGTCATTGGAACCTCTTTTACGTAAGCACACGAAAGCTATTCTGAGGTAACTCATTGTTGGGAGCAGATGGCGCACTCAGCCACGCGTACAGTTCACATCTGAAAAATACATATAATTTCTTCGGAGCGCGTTGCGGTCTTGTCGTCAGATGATCGGAAGGCTTCTTTCACAGGAGGTTTACAAAACGGCCTCCATCTGTTGGGGAGCGACGCATCGCTCACCTGAAGACATTCCTGAAATAGTTGAGGGCTCCGGTCAGAGCTCCCGGCTGTGAGAGCGCGTGCACATAGGCCTCCAAGTCCTCTGCAGTGAGCCATCGACCTTTCCTCCCGATCCCCGTGTTACGGCTGGTGAACAAGGCCTTCAGAGCCTACGGGAGAGACGGCACAAAGCACACGGGTGCATACGTGTTATTGTACTAGATTTGATCGAAGGAACATTTACAGCGGAGTCCGGAAAGGAGCTTCAGCGTTGAAATGGGTCCAGATTGACCTTCCAACGCAGTTCTAGCACCGCTGTATACTCACTATGGCTCAACAACACGACGCGCGGTGCTTTTACTTCTGGAAAGTCAAACTCGGGGATGAATGGAAATAATCCAATAGTGCGTTGAATGAGTAGATGTTGTCAGCCCGTAGAAAGGCAGATGTGACCCAAAGGCCGTGAAAATAATCACCGCAAGTTTTTTAGATTAAAAGAAAAATAAATTGTTTGAGTAAATTATTGAAAATATTCATCGTCCGTTCCCCTCTGTGTCAGGTCTTCATGCTAAGCTAAGCAGCGCCCTGCTGCTGCCGCCTTCAGGTTTCATTCAACCCCGTCATATCATATCCTCATATCGTCCCATTCAACCCTCGGCATGAAGGAAAGCATTATGTCCAAAAAGTCAAAGAAACAAATCACAACACAGATGTAGCATCTTTAAAACCGTCCAATACTTTGTGTTGGAGCCATAATGCAGGTGTTGGTGATTTTGGTTATGTTGAGGGAAACACTGGGTGAATTGGGACATGCAGTTCCTACACATGAACACTGGGTGGCAGATCACCATAACAATGCATTTAAGTAAGTGCCTGCAAATGAGCACAGGCGTGGATGGGAAGCAGACAGTCAACGCGGCGTGCATCGTGCCGTGAGGCACTGGGAATTGTACGCAGACTTAAAGACACATTGGACAGTGAATTTACACATACAATGGACATGTGTTAGGCCTCTACCCTGTGCACATGACATGACTAAATTTGGGGCACACTCTTCTTCGAGGTTCTCACCAGCACGCCTTCTTCGTGGCAAAAACGCCATAATCCATTTTAGCGTGACACTTGATAATAATCTATAATTTAACTTTTCCACAACAATCAACCTCTTTCAAAACCAACACACACGTCTGCGAGCACGCACACTTGCAGACACAACACACACACACACACACACACACACACCACACACACATTGACCTTGAAAGCGCTCAAGCCCACATGTAACAGACCACCTTGAAATCATTGATGGAGAGCATGAGCTCCGGGAAGCGGGGCAGCTGGAAGAAGAAGAAATGGCTGGATTTCAACAGCTGGCTCGGGTGACGCAGCGCATAATCTGGAGGAAAGGAGAGGAGAGGAGTTCAGCTGCTTCAGACGGTAATTCAAGGCTGGCTGCAGGATCAGGAGCACAATAACTCGTTCCAGTTCAAACGGCTGTTCCGGCCTCCCATTAGCCTCCTGTAATTAGCTTCTCATCATCTTCCCTTTAAGGCAGAAGAGGATTTGCCAGATGGAAGCAAACATGGAACTGGAGTTATGATGCTTACAATTAACAATAATAATAATCACAGTAGTAATCCAAAAGCCAAACCCGGGTCTTTATCTAACTAGTAACTAGTTGTCGCTCATAATCAACATCCTACCTGTGAACACAGAAGGATGGGGGCTGTTCAGGACGATGAGTTTCGTCACCATCTCTGGGTAGTGAATGGCAAACAGCCAGGCTATGGTCCCTCCCCAGTCGTGGCCAACAAGGCAACATCTGTTGTATCCTTGGAAGCAAAGCAAACACACATCAGATATTGCAGCAGAAGGGCATCGAGGCATGTCAGTGCCTGGAAATCAATAGTTCTCACTTCTTCATCGCTGGCTTCCTCCTTCAGCGGACATTTACACCCATCAAATAGATGTATTTCATGACATGCAGTCAAGGTCAGGGCATTAGCGTGAGGTGGATCTGATCACATCGTCGTTCCAATGACTGCAAACTAATCCGCTTACCTTTGCTGGTGGCATTTACAACCGCCGTTACAACCAGCACGCCGCAATCTCAACATCGATATCACGCGCTCTTCAAAAAGGGATCGTCGTGCAAGCTAATCGGCCGCACCGATTCTGCTGCCGCCCGTGATGCCCGAATTCAAAAAGGGCAATGCTGCTTGCCATGCGTGGTTAAAGGCCGAACCTCTGAATGGTAATGGAGACCATGTGAGCTCTAACAATATGGTGAAAAATCGACGTCCAATCACAGACCAGCGGTCATCATGCGATCAATGCTTCCACTCAAAAGGCTTTATCTCCTGAAAGCAGTGTCAAGAAATGAGCCATAGACAGCTGGAACACTGTGGAGCAACGCAACATTACCTTTAGAGGCCTCTCAAAAGCACTTCCTGGGAGAATGTAAATATTTAATAAGAAATGTGTGGCTCGAATATGCACAGGTCATTATTGCTCCACTTTGTTAATATTGTGGACTAATTAGCTAAAGCCCAATATAGCAGACTTTGTGTAAAGAAAAACAACGTGTAGCAATGAACCCATAGAGAATTATCACCGGTCTCTGCAGTCCCCCTCAGCTCTATAGAACAGAGTTTATTTTGATGTTATTTAAATAAATAAATCCTGTCTCCAGATGCAAGAACCAGTTGTTTGTAGTGAAAAAACACCAGACGTCTGAACACCAGACTTAGAAATGTCAAATATTCATCCACACAACTTGCAATAGATGCTTATGCGTCTGGATGTCATGCAAAAGAAGACGCAGCGGTTTGCGCACCAATGACATTGTGATTTAAACCAATTAAAATGATATCTATTGTATTACTAAATGATCTCAATTTATTTTTGGATTTACTAGTATTGTATAAATTATATATGTTGAGTTCTTTAGGAGGGCTTCTATTTTAGGTGTTTAAAATACATTTCCGCGCCGCACTTTGATATGAGGTGACAGGTGTGAAGGAGGAGCAGTACGGAGTTGGCGGTCATCAGAGCACCTTTAATGACGTGTCATGCATCCTGTACACAGTGCTAAAACCGTGATAAGGCAGCCAGGAGAAAACGTCTCTGTGGCCACTGGTGTGTGTGTGTGTGTGTGTGTGTGTGTGCGTGTGTGTGTGTGCGCACAGCCTCGGGCTACAGCTCGCCGCTAGTGTTAGCATGCAGTCAGGGGGGGCTCGGTATGAATGAGTCACAGGAAGTTGGTCACGCCGTCCTGCGGCCCCTACGGCTTAAGATTGATAAACAAGTTTATTTTTGACTGGAGTCGCTGTGTAAAACGGCGCCCAGTCCTCGGGGGCATTTCACGGTCGCAGACGCAGCGCCGGGGTTCTCTCACCCAAGTACTCCACGATGTCCTTGACGTCGGTGACCAGGCTGTCGAAGCGGTAGCTCTCGGGGGAGAGCGGCAGGTCGGACTCCCCGTAGCCCCGCATGTCGACGGCCACCACGCGGAACTCGTTCTTGAACTCGCGCAGCTGGTAGCGCCAGGAGAACCTGCGGCACACAGACGGAAGCAAAGGAGATTTGACTTTCCGCTACTCAAGAGCCGTCCCTCGGTTAGTTTTGGTACCCAGAAACCCGTCATTGTAAAAAGAGGGGGGGGGGGGGGGGGACTCCAGCGAAGAAGTCGTCAAGCGATCATGACTTTTAGTGAGTGTCGTGGGGGTCAAACCCCCAAAACATGGGCTCATCCATCCCCCATGATGCAAGTCAAGGGTGTCTTTCATTTATTCCCTCCTGCCAGGTGAATCTGCAAGTCCTTCCAACTTCAACCCCACAGTTTGCAGCACAGTCTTTCTGTTAATCGTTTCTCTCAACACGAATCTCGGAGCCTTTGAACTCATCAAAACTATCCAGAGACGTTTTTCTCCAAACCAGCGCTCTTTTTCTAGCAAGAAGGTTGCTGCAGCATAATAGAGGTTGTTTAAGATTCTAATCTGCCCACTGATCATGTGGACCAGAATCACTTTCTAATTGGAGATCTTGTCTGGGCGACTCCTCATCAGGCCCGACATCAAGATCATCCTCCTCCTTGGAGAAGTCCTGGCTGTGATTCTGATGAGTCAGCGTAAGACCCCAGCACTTAAACCCCCCGATCTTAGAACCTAGATGGGCTTTGAAAGCAAAGAAAGCCGCATGACTCCCTCCTTCCTCCTCTGACACACACACACACACACACACCTTCCTCATTTCTGAGTGGGAATTAGCACTTTTTGGAGGAAGCGATTTGCCCGGCCATGTTCTCTCGGAGAAGAGGAAGCGGGAAGTGAGGCAGAAAGAGCTCTCCTCTCCCGTTAATGAATCCCTGTCCTGTCAGCAGCTTAGATAGCATGTTGGAGATATGGACGGGCTTATAGCTCCTGACAACCCCTTTGGCCCCGATCCACGGAGCAACGCTCAACACCATCCCCTCCCCCGTCCGTAGCACGAGGACGAGATCTTAAATGCTTTGGACTTTTTTTTTTTCAACCCCCGATGGCAAATCTCGAACGAGGCTGCGGAGATTCACCGGTCGAGCTGAAAACGTGACAGCTGAGGAGTTCTGTAGCGAGGAGGACGCTGTCCGTCCCCCGTCCCACCGTTCACATCCTGATTTCTTGTGTTTCTTTGACCTACCAGAACTCCGGGAAGCCGTGTAGAAAAAGCATGAGCGGCTTTCCTCTCTCCCCAGCAGCAACATAGTGGAACCGGAGGCCCGACTCCTGATGGGGAGAAAAAATAAAAGGTGTGTTTTACTTGCTGAACACGGCAGGAAAACAAGGCAGCATTTCTAAATGAATGGTCCCGAGTGAAGCCGCCTTGAAAACAGCTGGACAATCATGTCACCATCAGGCAAACACAGGAATTGGCTTATTCACTTGCCGTTATATTATTACAAAGATCTTCCAGACGCGTTAATATACACACTGCTTTGAGCGATCATTCGTGCCAGATATAATTGGTAATTGCGAAATAAAAAGCGTAAGGTCAATTAACATGTTATTTTTTGGTTGATAGACAAAATCCCTTGAACAGAATTATTTTTTCATGGTCATGTTTGACATCCATAAACCGTGTCAGTGCACGGACGATGTCTCCTGACGGTGGAGACATGTTGGCATGCATGGACACATTATCCTTCTCCTTTTGTTTGTCTTAACCATGTTTCTTGTTATTTGGCTTCAAAGAAGACATCTTTTCATCTGCATCGTGTGAAGCCACAGCAAGAACGAAAAGAGGATTTAGTGTTGTTACAAAAGTCCTTGGAGCTAAAGTTATGGATAAATAACTCTAGACCAAAGAATGTAACTTAATACATTAATCCTACTTATGTGCATTCTTTTTACTTATTCTAATTTTACTTATTTCCATTTTCTGCTGCCTCGTTGTTCCATTTAGCAACCTTTAAGATGTGCATGACTGTATTGCATATATCAAACAGCTACAGTAAAGTTACTTTACATATGATGTCTTATTAGACATTAGGTTTACCTCCAGGACAGATGCGCAGTAACAACGCGCTCACCCCGAACACGACATTTACATGCTTCATGTATTGATAATCCAAAGCAATGTGTCAATGCAACAAATGAATAGATGTTTACACAGAGGATACTCGTGTACTTTTAGACTCAGGACTGAATGGATTTTAGTGTTCATATTCGAGTACCTTCGTCCTTCGTAATCCGAATTAATGATCTATATATATATAAAAATAAATAATTGTGATATAACTAACAAGGTGAGGGGTGTTTTGTGTGCACCAGACACGGCTCGGTGTTAAACACATAACGTTAGTGGCTCCTTCAGCTCCACCTGCGCGCAGCGGAGAAAACAAAACGTCTCCGAAATAAACAGACGCCCCACGATGTGCCCGCAGACCAGACCGGGCCCGTCGGTCTCCCACGACTGCGACACACACACACACACACACACACACACACACACACACACACACACACACACACACACACACACACACACACACAACACACACACATGGGGGACCCCCATCCCGCCCTACGGGGACAGGGTCTTACCTTGATCCTGACATAACAGTGGGTTCCCAAGGACGAGTCATTGAGACACGCCGGGGGAGTTTCCCGCACCGTCCATCGGAAGGTGGCCGTCGGCCTCAGGGCGACGCTCCAGCAAAGTTTGAGCAGGAACACGGCGCTGCAGAGCGCGCAGTAGCCGTAGACCAGCGACCAGTAGCCGCAAACTCGGATTTGCAGCGCGAGTCGGGTGAGAAATAACAGCAAGTTGTGGAGCCCTCTCGCCATCTTCACATCGCCGCAGGGAGAATGAATGAGTTAAAAAAAACAAGCAAACCACGGATGGAGTTGCGTATCGATCGGTGCCGGGGAATCGGTTTAACAACACGGCCCACTGACGATGCCGCCGCGTCGGTCACCAGCGCACACGCACACGCACGGCTGGCTGAAGGGAGGGTCCCGGCGAGCGACGGTCGCGAGCGACGTCGCGTCACATTTCACGCCTGCGTGTGACGGCGCGTCGTCGCGCGCGGGGGTGTCGTGACTGCGCGAGGCGAAGTCCGAAAAAACCCGTCGTGCGCGCTCGCGAGGAAAACAACGCACTCAACACACAATAAAATCCCTGCGCAGCAGCGGGGCTTCGAGCCGTTGCTATGGCAACGAGAGACAAGCGTGCACGTGCTCACTGTCCATGAAGGCCAGTGAAGTTGCGGTTGTTCGGGGGGGATTTCATTCGTGTCTTTGCGTCAGACGCGATGTGTGTTCCGCTTTCTTCGTGCACTACTATGATGAGAAGATCAGAAGGATCCCAAAATGTCTTGTCCTTTAAGAGGAAAACCTCTCGGGCCTCGGGGGCCCCGCCCCTTTAATCAGCTGTCAATGCTCACACGTGCGCTTTAATCAGTGAACAATTCGCGTATCGATGACTGTCGTACAATCAGATTACCGTAATCCCTCAACTAACTGCACATGCGGCAGATTAAAGACCGCTATGTGGAGCCACAAAGATGACCAAGAGAAGCACATTAATAAGTAATATAAGTATTATAACATGAATAATTTAACGCAGACAGGACAATAGCATTTTCCCTGGCAGGTTACTAGCGATCTGGTTCATTTAAATCCTAAAAATATTTGAATAATCGCAGGATACAGGTAGAGATATTGTTATCATATGTATGTATTTTACTATAATATAATCATATTATAGTGCTATATAGTCAGAAGGGGGTGAAGATTGCTTAGTGAAAATAGCTTTATTAGGAGTAAAAAAAATAGAAGAAATAAATTCTTATTTATTTAGCATATACAAACTGTAACATACAGAACATGTCAATAATCTGCAAAAACAGCCTTGGAGCAGTCAGAACTGTATAAACAACAAAAGTGCACAGCGTGTACAGATAACGCCTGTATGGCATTTTCAAGTAGTCAGGTAAATAAGGAACTGAGATCCTTAACTTCAGTTCAACTCCGGAAACTGGACGGAGATCTACAACATTTTGTATTTACTATTGTGAAATGACAAATAAAAGGTGCAAGAAACGTAAACATATAAAGTGCTTTGTCTACATTGTAGTCAAGATGAACCGAAAACTAGTGGTAAGGGTTCATCAAATGTAATAACGTGGCAGAAGAACCAAACAACGCTGCACGTTCCAGCAAACAGGACAAGGTGACACTTGAACTAAAGCGTGTGCATGCAGTACTTTGCTCGTCATACACAACTGTCACAGAAGGAGCACTCTTCTGTGAAAAGAACAGAAAAACCCACTTTAAAGATGACATCCGGGTATGGATTATGACAGCGAGACACCCCAATAGTCTCAAAATCAGGAGCGCAGACATTAGGACATCATCCAGTGCAAATGCTAAACAAGGGCCTATATATGTATATATATATATATTATGTTTTATTGAATGTCCCCCTCCTCCCCCACAGTTAACGTTTTGTTTTCTAGTCCAAAGGACGAACACGTGGTCGATGCTGACGTTGGCCTTTGTGTCGGAGAAAGAACCAACAGCTCGAGCTTTGATTTCGTCGAGACGACTCTGAGGAGTTATTTAGTCCAGGTTAAGTTCAAATGAGGTCATGATGTCCCGCTGCCTCGTCATGTCAATACCGGACATCTAGAAGAGAGAGAGAGAGAAAAATGAGCCGCAGAACGGTGGTCTAAAAGCCGCGGCAAAGTCACCCGGGGACACGGGCGGCGGTACTCACAGCCTCTCGCCTGCGACGTTCCTGCTCCTTCCTGCGCGCCAGCTCCCTTTCCCCGTCCACCCGGCACTGAGGGGCGAGAGGCGGGGCTCCTGCGGGAGACATTTGTCTCTCTACAATTTTTGGAGCATCTAGGGTAGCTTCTGTGCAGATACTCCCTGGCGAGTCGGGAGCGTCCTTAATGGGCTGGGGATGCGTTTCTGCTCTGCATGGCCCCGGCAAGCTAGAACGAGAACGCCTTTGTTGATCGGAAAAGGGTGTTGATGAAATGAAATACTGCTTTGGTTGATCAGGACTGTGTTATGACACTTTGAATGATGTATTTATCCAGGAAAACATAAAGAGATTACGTTCAGAACAAAGTGTGATGCATTCGCTGACTACCTGCTCTTTTCAGCAGTGCTGTCCTCCATTGGTTTGTTCTTCAGAGCTTTTTCAAGTTCCTCCTTTTTCATGGCCGCCCTGCGGAACTTCTGGAAGCTCTCCTTAGACGACTTGATTGCACTCGCACTGACTGACTGCTGCACCACTTTCGCCCAGGACTCTGCATTTTTCAGAAAAATGTCCTACACGAGACAAATCACCGTCATGTTTATTAGACCATTTCTAAACCAGGTGATTAAGATTTGGATCAGGATTAAAAACACGTTTAACAGACTCCTGAAAAAACCCCAAATAAGCAAATGTTTTAAAACTCGTTTCCACTTGCAGCTTGATGCCGACAGGCAGAAAATGCACCCCCCCCCCCCTCTGCATCCTGGTCTGCAAAACCAGCTCAGGACTAACTCATGTGGTGTTGGAATGTTCAGGAAAGAACAGCTTTCCAGACTGAAATTTCCCATGAACAGTCCCTTCAAGTCGGGACAAGGAAATGTGTTTGTTTATTGCAGCGGTTGGAGTTTGAACGCACCACTAGACAGTTTCCATGGTCTTTGAAACTCTCAAAGACTGGAAACATTCATCGACGTGTTGTTCAACAGCCCTCAGGAATAAAATACAACACATCTGTTCTTTGGCCTCCACGTTGTCTCCACGTTGTCTCCACATTACGATTCCACTAAACAAAACTTGAAGAGCGTGTGACCAGGGGAGGACTGGCCATAGGGGACACCGGGGAAGCCCCTGGTGGGACGACGTGGTGTTGGACTGGTCCAACTGGGCCAACTATACTCTCTGCTTCATTGCTCATTCTCCATTTAATCTGTTCCGTCAGTCTAACTTTGTTTTAGGTGTTCGGCCCGCGGTTCAGTTGTCATGTCGATCATAACTGGCCCGCCGTTCAATAGGACGCACACGGCTGATATTAAAAGTGCCAGAAGGCACCGCAACAGCTACACGCGACAAATCCAGCGACTTCTCAGGAGGAGAAGGAGGCGGGGCTGCCCGGCGCGCGCTCACAACGACGGATCGCAGGGGAGACATGAAGGGGGTATTGAATTGAATTGTGGTATCGTAAGTATCGGATATCTTGATATTTAGGTAAGTTTCTAATGTTGTCCGTCTCTGTGATTGAGTGTGACATCACTGTTGCTGCCCACTCAACACTCGCCTCACGCGCTCTGGAGCGCGAGACAACAGCAAAACCTAAATCCTTTCAAGGTGGAACTAAATTATAATTATAATGTTTGAATCTCTGACTTATTTGGGAAACCAGGGACTGTAGATAAAACGTATTGTTTTGCTGTGCACCTTCAACACTCCTACACACACAATCACACACCCAGCATGCAACACTGATACCACTGATGTCCACACGTCCCGCTCTGTTCCTTTCTACAATATTGTTCATACTGATTCGAGTGTCTTCATTGTCTGTTGTTTCTCTGTGGACATTCACTCCTTAAGGCTCTGCAGATATACGTATATAGTATACATACCTGATGGTAACCCAGACAGAAAAACAACCTATGTAGTAACTTCTTTGTAATCATTCAAAATAATGTTAATGTGGGGGTATTTGCCAAGTAGGCCACTGGTTGGTCAAAATGTGCGATGCTCTGAGTGGGCAACGCGCCGCGTATTGAGTGGGCCGTTCTGACAGTAACTCACGAGCCACTTTCTACCTCCAGCCCTGCGTGTGACTGCACCACAAGACGTTAACACTTCTTGCAAGAGGAAACTGAGTTCAAACAATGCCAACCTTTCTGTGAATTTGGGTTTTTTCCTCTGTAGCAGAGCGACTGGCTGTGTTGGTGTAAGGCACATTGGTCAGCAGGCTGTCGGGCAAATCCTCAGGGCACCTGGAATCTGGCACAGTCCGTTCACCTTTAAGTATCCAGCTGAAGGATTAGCAACAAGTAAAACAGAGGTGTGTCGTGGTGACTTACTGGACCGGCGGTCATCTGTGGACGGCAGCGGGCTGTCGCTCAGAGGGGACAGCACCGGGCCCTGTGGAGAGGCACGATTTGTCAACATTGGTTGACTTTTAATCTTGACATCAATCTTTGAGTTTAGGGAAGTGCAACTATAAGTCTCTTGCTTTGGGGGATTTATTCTTTTTTCTTTTATTTTTCCTGAAACTATGAGTCTACAAAGAGAGATTAAAAGTAAAGTTACCGAGTAAACACTGAGATACAACTTAACATAAAGTAGCGATACAGCAGAAGCATTCGTAGACGAATCAACAATAAGGCAATTAATCAGTTGCACTTTGTATTCCAATAATCAAAGATGATCTATTTCAAGATATAGCAACTGTGATAAACCAGATCAGGGGTGTTCTGTTGATTTACTGTAAAACAGATGTATGAAGTTATAGCATCCAGGACGTGTGGATGTTTAGGTTTATCACGCTGTACAGTGGTCAGCGGTACCACAGAAATGACACCTAGAACATTTGACCATTATATTAACTGATCTCACTGATAAACAGCTCATTTGAAGGGCAAAGAGCGTCGGTAACGCGATTCAGCACGATAAGCATGCGTCGCAATTCTTTTTTTAAAGTTCTCTTTTTAACAGAGCAAACGGTGTTTGTGTAAAGTGTGGCTGTTCCATCAGAAGTACCTCGAACCTGGTGGTGGTCCAGTCCAGCATAACTCCCGGAGACACCATGGGGGATAAAAGGGCAGACAGATCTGTCAAACGGCAAAGGGCACTCATTGAAATTCAACACATGGAGACCATGCGAGAGGAGAGAGTACTGAGCCTCCACTCGATAGAGAGAGCGAGACTACAGTTGGAAATAATCCGAGAGCAGCGTGAGAAGGATACTTAGGATACAATACAACTATTAAGAAAAGAAATAAATTGATATAATATTAAGCATGGGAACCCCCAAGGAATACTGACTACCATTTCTGAGGGTAAAATCCATATTCTGAAAACAGATATTTCCCTTATTGCACAACAGGAAATAAGTGTATTAATTCCCTCTTCGTCAAGGGACACAAAGCAGTACCTGGAGGAGATAAAGGCAGCTCATCACAGGTCAGATTCACGTTACGCTGCGTTGGGTGGCCTTTGGTCTCTGGCACAGAGGACTGCGCGGTCAGAGGGGGCTGGTAATACTTGAGCGAGGCTTTAGTCAAGACTTTCACCTCCGATATGTGCTTGCCGCAGGCTGCACGAGCCGCTTTTGACTGAAGGAGAAAGGATATTCTTACTTTTCATTCTAAGCAGTTAAGCGAACTCACCGTGAAACTCACAGTAAGCAAACACTGGGTTTACCTCCGCCGCCTTGACCTTTTGGCAAGAGTCTGTGCCCTTCGTCTTTTTGGATTTTGGCGCTGAAACACAAGCAAATTGACAAAAAACGTACAGGTTTCTCTTCAGTAATAAAGAAATAAGGATAAACCACGATAATCAACTTTTACATAGATAGCTGACAGTGTGTGTGTATATATAGTGCTGGGCAACGTTTCCAATTCTAAGCTTTATTTATGTATTCCAAAACTATCAGGCACTTCCTGGACCGTCGGTTCTGAACGCAGATGACATCGGTGGGTTATTAGGAGCATCGCTTTGTTTTTTTACTTCACTTTAACTTGAATAACTGGGTTCTAGCGTCGCTGAAAAAGAAACAACTCTTGCTGTTTAGAAACCGCTTCATTTATCAGCAGAATAATCCCTTCCAGAATGCAGCACATCCTGCTTGTTATTGCAGATGACCTTTTCTTGTATAAAAATAGACAGTTCTTTAATTTGGTGTGCAAACAGGAGAGGTGTTGGAAACATGAAGCCTGTAACTGCTCACTCGTCTTAAGGACAAGGATGAACTAACGAGGTATGTGAGGTGTGCTAGGAGAGCAGCTAACCTGATTCAGAGTCGCTGCTTTCTGAAGTGCTATAAGTACTACTGCTGCTGCCTCCACAGCTGGATGACGAGCTGCTGCTGCTGCTGCTTTCACTGAGGACAGGAGCCTCGAGGATTTTAGCTGTCGACAAGAAAAAAGGTAATTTACATAATGTACCACGTGGACGCAATTACGCCGCTAATTCATTTCTAACCTAGCGGCTTCTTTTTCTTCATCAAGGGCTGCTCTTTGCTGGCATGCGGTGGCGTCCCAGCATGCTTTAGTTTGCCAGGCGGCAAACCTGCTGTGGGCTTCACCAGCTGGTTCTCTGCAGGACAGAAGAGATGGTAACCCTCCAGAGCATCTCTTTACTTTGGGGTGGGGTTCCTCACTCGAGCTAAGCTAAGCAGGTTTGGGCTTTACTCACTGAGGATGTCCTTGTTGCATTTCTTCAGACACGATGCAACAAACCTCTGCAGGGTTCTGAGCGTGGGGGCCTTGAGCACCTCAAAGTCGACCTCGATCTCCTCCGGAGCCGAATCGCGCAGGCAGGACTCCCTGGCCTGAATGATTCTCACCAATTTGCCCAGTTTGTCACCGGGCAGCTTGTCGATGTCCAACTTGAGCTGTTTTTTCTCCTGGTAAGTGACTGGCATTAACGCGACGTCGCCCTCAACTGCTGAAGTGCCCCCACGAATGTTGTGTCTGCTGCCATGCCTAGACAGAAAACATGGAACACCAGCCTCAGCACACGCGGGACACTTGTCTCAGCTACAACAGATGAACCCTATTAGAACTTACAAAGCAGAGCTGTGGCGGTTTGCCAGTTTTTCTACATCAGACTTGTACTTTGAGGACTTGTGCTTCAATCGTGCGATATCCTTTTCTTTGGCTCTTTTTTCCTTTTTCAACTTGTTTTTCTTCTTAGGTCTGTTCGGGGGCTCTTGTGTTAGTCTTTTCAGCTCATCTCGGACAGCCTTGAACGGAGAAGCCACCCACCAATGGGCAGATTAGGTCAAACGCACAGAAAAGAACTCCTCAAAAGTCATTTGCACGAGTACAGGCATGAATGTATAGCGACCTGGTCCTTGAGATTGGCCAGCTGCGACGCCTGCTCGAAGGAGGAGGAGCTCTCATCCTCTGAGGAGCTTCTGCATTCAGGGGTTGAACTCTGAACTCTTTCTTTTTTTGCCTTGTCAACTCGCTGATAAGGTATGGCACAGCACTCTTCTTGGGGCACCTTCAGATATCGGGCCTCAAAAACTTCCTGTTGATGCAAACACTGATGTTATTGTAGTGGCAACAGAAATTATTCTATTGAGACCAATGCGTTGATGACATTGCAAACAAATAAAAAGTGACTGAATTCACAGCATGTACAAGGCAGGCAAAGTACATTTTATTCTCGACAGAGGAGGTGCAGTACTCCACCTCTACTATTTGGTCCATAGAGTTTTAAAAGGCCATTATTACGTAACTGCAGGGCAAAAATAGGCCCAATTTGACCAAAATGCTAAAACTCAAAATAACTTTGTGATCATTTTCACCCGTGACATCGGCCTATGGGCTGCGTCAGCCATCTGTGTGCTCGCTTCACTACTAGTGGGCAGTGTGCTCGCCTCCAGCATGGAGGGCGGATGAGACGTTGTTTCTTTACACTTTGGATTCAATCCAACACATAAACTATCACATCTAGCAGGGGCTGGCGGGTTAGCATGCTAATTTTAGTAGATATAACTGCAACACAGCACATCGTCTTTGAGCAACGCCGTGACCTCTTTACATCGCGTTCATAATGCTAGTTTGTGTTTTGAATGTTTTCAAATTAAAACTATTTACAGTTCCAAATGTTGTTAGTTATCCGTGTGGGTAATGGGATGGACAGTCCTGCAGGTGGTTTCAACCCATTCTACCGATCGACAGATGGTGGTGGTCAAATGCCAGCAGATGGAACAATGTGCCAAAGAAAGGAAATCGGGGGGGGAATGAGCACAAACAACGTCAGTTTCAGTCTTTCTGAAATTGGTTCTGCAATGATTGATGTAGAGGAAAGTACATGTGTGCTTATATGTATATCACATCCGAGGACTCAATACATTTGGGTGGCAAAGTTATATTTGAAATCAGTACCTGCAGTTTTCTTGCCATGACAACCACCTCATGAGTTGGTGGATTGTATTTATAACAGTTGGAGAACATGAGTCGGACATCAGCGGCAAATTCCTTTGGATTTACATACTCGCGTTGATCCATTTTCCTCTGGGGAAACGACACTTGATGAAAAAAAAAAGATGTGACTGACATTAAAATGGACTATATTGTAGTCATCTTACCCGTATGCCGCTCAGATCCATAGGCTGCTTGATGATGTCATGGTAGTCGTGCAAGCCCAAACCGAGCGCATCAACAGGGGTGTAAAAGGGCCATGCGTATGCGTAGTGTCTCTTGGAGAGCATCTCCTTCAGGATGTCATTACAGCACCGGAGCTGCTCAGACAGTCGGGTCTTCTTGCCCTCTGAGGCGGGCAAGTCTTTCTTCGGAGGTTTGATGGGCCTTCTACTGCCTTTCCGGGAGAATAGCGTGCAAGGCGCTGAATGATCCCCAGTGAGGGAAACGACGCCACTGGTGAGGACGGAGGGGGTGGAGGTTGTGACATCTGCTTTCCTCTTGAAACCCTTTTTAATCTGAAAATTCAAAAAAAAAAGTCACTACAAAAGTTAAAGAATTTTCAATTGGTTTCACTTTTTGACATTTAAAAGTTTGGTTCAGACACTATTTGGCCATGTGAAAGACAACCCGTCTACTAATTTCCTGCAATAGAGACAACGAGCGTGAGAAAGACATTTACTGTAGTCTGTGGTCACTGGAACGGTTTGATCACCATCATGCCGCCACAGAACGAGCTACTATTTCCAATGTAAAAGTCAAACTTTCAAATGGACAAAAAAACAGGAACTAGAATATACATGTCAACATACTGTGGTTTCTTATCTTACCGAAATAACCAACAAAGTGTCAGAACACGATGACAACGAATCAAAGTAACGATCTAACCAAAAAGCTCAACAACCGTTGGAAGTTTTCACACCCTTAGAGACAGTAGATTGTTTAAAGTCAAGTTCTATGCAAACCAATAAAACACTCACTGTAGCATCCATTTGTGAGAGCTGAGTGGGGGGCTTGAATTTACTCAGATCAGGTGGAATCACCGTCACAGTCTGCTGGAGAACAACTTCTGACACGGGGGATGTCTGCTTTATGGCACCTACACGACAACAGGTCAAAAGACATATGCACAGGAACTGAATATCATTTTTTATTGGAAAATTAGGCTGCACAATTAGCATCCAAACATTATTGCATGTGAATATTTGAGTGTGTTTGGAGGCAGTGACAGGTCCCATAATGTAAAAAGATTTGCTTTTTGGTCAAGCAGTTCAAGAAACTATATAAATATCAATATTGTATGGAAACGCTCAATCCGCCGAGAAATGTACAGAGCTTGTGTTCAGAAACCGTGCCTTTAAATGAGCAGTCAAGATTGACCTAGCAGTTTAGCTAACGAAAAAAAGGCCAGTTTAAGGGTATGCTATCTTTAGAATATATTCCAATGAGGAATGAAAGTGAAACTAATCTATATTGTTTTCGTGAACCGAGGAAGCTGGTTGTTTTAACGAGTTTCCCCTTTAGTTCAGACCTCTGCAGGTAACCGCTATGTTCAAGGTCGGCCTGTTTTAAAAAGCTAGGTTTTGCTGCTGCTCCCTCCCCCTCATCCAAAGCACTATTTTACACAGTGGGGGCGAGTTGACCGCCGACTACTGGAGTAATAAATTGATTATGGAGAAGTACTGCATACAACCCCCCTTCAAATAAGCCAGACTGCCCCTTTAAATACATGATTGCTGCAGACTGATTTAAATGTACTTGTATTTGCAGATATATACACATCTCAGACACACAAGATATTGATGTGTAAATATACAATTATTATATTGGACCTCATCTTTAGGGACTGTTAATGTGTAAGATACCTGCATTTGTCTTTCTCCCTTTCACTGGTTCCTTCGCAGTGATGGCTGTAATGTCACACTCGTCCTTAGGCATTGTGGTCAGTTTCTGCAAAAAGAGCTTCTCCAGGGTCTGCGCCATGAAAACAATGTCATCTCCAGGCTGTGGATGGAAATTGTATATATTATGACCTAAAAGTTGTCATGCCAATCTTGCTCGAACAGCAGAAATACCCATCAGCCCTGCTAAAGCCTATAAAGAGTAACGCTGGGTCAGTGGGTGGGAATTACCTCATTTAGATTACAGTACGATAGAACAGCATTGAGGATTACGAACTATTAGTTCATAGACCAGCTGTTTCAAAACATCTCCACGGCTAATTTTGTGTGTATATTATTGGGCAGTTTGAAATGTGTTTTAGATAGACAGCAAACCCGATCTTACCCGATTGTACACATAGCAGTTGGTGAACATGGTATTGAAGTCTTGTATACACTGAAGTGCTTGCCAGTAGTATTTGTTCTGAAGACGCTTCTGAATAGTGCCCAGGTCCATAGGCTTTGTTATGATTGTGTAATAATCCTGAAAAACAACAAAAACACTGACATGAATAAACCAAAATCTCTCCACTCCAGATCGCAGTCTGACGGAGTCCCTCTGCAGCGACCTACTTTGGGTTGAAGCACTAAAATATTAACACACACATTTAGAGCAATTCCAGCTCCTACTTACTGGGAGACACAGTGCAACTGCATCAACTGGCTGGCGAAACGGCCACGAGAAGTTATGCCTCCACAAAGCTTTGATCACCACCTTCTCCAGGTACTGCAGCTGATTGGTCACTCGTCCGGGACCTTTGGAATTGAGGACCTCCGGCGGCGCGGGGTTTCTGCTCGCAGTGGGACGGACTTTCACATCAGTCATCGTGCTTTTCCCGAGGCCATTGATTGAACAGTGGGTCGGATTCTTTGCTGCAACTTAAGTGTTCATCACACGGTTTCCTGAACAAAAGCAGTGAAGAGTCCCCGGGGCATCAGTTCGGACGTAGATTAGGAATTACGTTTGGTAAAAGAACAAAACCAGTCACAATTGTGGAGAAGAGTCTCTTTAATACATCAGTGTGGACAACCCTGCTGCCTTAAATCTGACCTCGAGTCCACAATAACTTTATGCCCAGACAATTTAGAAAATAATCAAACAACTTGAATTTCACAACAGTATACCTTCGCCAACAATTCATAATAGAGTTTACATAATGTCGAAAACTCATCTCTCCGCCATTGTATCCTTTTTGACATTTGTGGGAAATAAGCAAACACATACTTGGGTTGAGAGTAAGAACGGTAGGAGCTAACCGGATCGGGCTAAGTACCAAAGATAGATTAGATAAGGGAAGTCGTAAGTCTTCAGTATAGGGTTTGACAATAATGTTCAGGCAAAATGATGAAATGTTTTATGGCTGTCCAGCTACTATTCTATGTGGTCCTTGTGAATCATATGATAAACGGTTTTGAACTCATTTAGCAGGTCAGGATTTCACTAAGGGACCAAATTTAAGAGCAGTCACTCATAAAACAGTCAGATCTTATCGAGATCAACGTGACACTTCAACGAGCCCACATGTCAGCTCATGATCACCTGTCATACATGATCCGGTGAGAAACTACCTTATCGATTACAGTATGCTTAATATTGATGACTCGCTATAAAATAAAAGTCACTATTAATTATTCACGGAAAGCGATGTTTGGCCGTGACATGAAGACAGGAAACACCCGGCACCTTGGGGTAATTTAAAATAACCAACAAGTACAACAGAACATTGCAGATTACAGCGTTTAAAAAAAAACAACTCCAATTTATTTAATCTGGACACATTTTGTTGACAGGATGTGCTTTAATTATGTACTTTCACTTTAAATTTAGCTCCCCAATGAAAACAAAAAGAAAAGAAATCGTACGACAATATAGCCATATTTAAATTGCCGGTGGACAGAAACACACAATGGCACGTTTGAGGCTGGGGAGCATCTTTTCTTCAAAACATAGGCAACACTGCCACCTAATGCTGCCGCAGAACGTGTTGCTCAGCAAAAACTAACCATTATAATAGACACGTTTCAAAAAAGCTTGAGTATCTCAAGTAATAAAACACTAACGCCGTAACAGAGGACGCGCCATGCACCACCGAGACTTGATAGTGCATTCAAGTATTTTCTTATTTCCATTTTATTCTTTAAAAAAAACAAAGGAAAAATGAAGACAATACATGAACAAATTCCAGTGAAGTCCAGCGCATCATACTGTTGACCTTTCTTTGAGTTGATATGGGCCGCACTCCAGAGCCTTAATGACGAGTTCATCAGTCATACAACCATCTGGTAACGAGTTTGTCATTAAAATGAAAAATTGAGTGTCAAATGCTTCTAGACGTTCGCAATCATCTCAAACAGGAAGCGCCATTCTGACACGTCTGGTTCTGCGCACAGTAAAATTATTTGTCAATTCATATAAGAGAAGTAATCATACTCATAGTTTTTGTTTAGGTCAAATTGCCCTGCAGTTACTGGTACCAACTGCTACCATTAGATGTCCTGCTTCCATATCACTGTTAGGAAAACATCAGACTATTGGTTAGGGAAGCAATTTGCCATTGATTGAAAACAGACAGCGGTGAAGCCAGAATGTAAATCAGTTAATTGAGAACAATAAATAGTAGATAACGCCAATCATTTTATTGCAGAGCTTTTAAAAAAATATAAGAGACACTCTTATACTGTTAAAGCATGCAAAGGATAGTTTGACCTCGATCGGGGAGAAAAACACCGCCAGTGACAAATCTCAATCAAAAAATTATTTCTAAACACAATGTTATACTTATGCCGGTCAATTTTCTAAAGTAACATTATGCAACTTGGTAAATAGAAAACGTTAAGCTCCATCTCCTATCAAAGAATCGGCATACAAACTGTTTTAACCAAACTAAGACGGTGCAAAAATACGTCATGAGTACAAAAACTATGCTATAGTCAAGAGGTAATCTCCGACAACCCCTAAACCATGGCAGATAACACGTAGATAAAATAAGATATGACAACGTCTCACTATACAAACAATAAACTCATCAGCAATATTGGAGCATATTAAAGTTTTAGCATTGACGGTGGAATGAAGTAAGTTGTGGCACGCTCGGCTCTGCACGTGGCGGCCCGCCGCGCTGTTGACAGCGCTCCGGCAAACACGTGACACCACGCCCACCGGTTCCTTTAGCCGCTAGCGGTGGGTTAGCCACCGTTAACACGGAATAATATATCGGTATGTGTCATTCACTTTCGTCCCACGACGTTTGAAAGGAACGGTGACCCGGGCGTTAGTTAGCTACCGGTACGAAAGAGAAATACTGAAATATCTGAATACCTGTTAAGCGCTAAGGTTGCAAGACAACTCTGACCATTAGCCAGCCTGTTTGCTAGCTAACCTAACTGACATTCGGAACTGCAGTGACTATAAAATAGCGTTATCACTACAGTTGGACTGGCAAAGGCCAAGTGTTTTCAACTTTACACCACGTCAACGACTACGTTGTATCCAAATCGATAAGGCCGGTACAAGTCACTTTACACCAGCATAGCTGACTAGCTAACGTCCAGCAGCGTTAGCTTAGCTGTTGGGATGCGGCGAGTTAACCTACAGGGCTCCATGACAATTTACGGCAGCTTTGTAAAACGTCCCGCACAGAAGCGTGTCAACACTCGAAAGCCATCAAAGAAGTCTGCATTTTGTAAAACTTGGCATTTAGTTGACAATGACAGCATCGGGCTAGCATTACCTTACGAGATATCACCGGCTCTTGCGTTCAACGCTTCAGTTGCAGGCGTCTCTACAACTGCCTCGCGTTTATACCCCTGTGCTCGAGGCGCTAGAACTGATTGGTCAGAAGCCGAGATACACGCGTTACGCGTTGTTTCTCTGCAGAAAAAAAGGCGCTCGAAACAGTCTGTTAAAAAAAAAAGAACGAAATATAACTGTCTCCTGCAAATGTAAAGCTACCCGGGTTTTCAACGCAATAGGTAAATATTTTGGTTGTGTTGTTCCAACAAAATGCCAACTCGACGTCATGGGTGGATCCTTCAGGATTATCACTTGGTAAGAATACTGACTGATGGGTGTAAAGTCACCGACCGTCCTTTTAAATGCGGTCGGTCGTTTGGGAGCATCCCCGCGCGGGCAGGCAGCGGCGCTCGGACTGACGGCGCAGGGGGAATGCGTGCAGCTGCAGGGAAGGGAAGCGGCGCGTGGGCGGAGTGGTGCCTTCACGTGCTGACCCAGAGGCGGAAAACGTAGTTTCACTGAAGACATTACAAGACACCAGTCCATATCTACATGGAAGATTACCACATACATAATGTGATATGACTTGTGCGCCCCGTTTACACGCAGTTAAGACGGTGTGTGCGGTAACCTCAACTTGCATAACTCCTTCCCTATCGCCAGAGAACATGTTATAGGTGTTTCTGTTCTAGTGCAGGTAAGTCGAGACAAGTGAGACGTTATCTGAACCGACATGTACAACCACACATGTTTGGTGAATCAAGTAGAATGAAATAGAATCAATGTAGAATCAATGTAGAGTTCCCAGTATTAAAATGAAGGGGTGGTTGTGCACTTTACCTGGTTAACCTGAACTAGCCGTGCGTTTACTTCCTGTGAGCCGCAGACACCGAGGAGCAGAAAGTCAGTAAGTAGAAATTGGTGAAAAACAGCTAATGACAAATAAAACTTTGATGAGCACAAATCCTCATGGTCAGATGTCAGAAGGTCAGATCATTCAGTGAATTCACTGTTTTATCACATTGAAGAACAAAGCATTGGCGTATCCAACATGTTCTATGAACACGCACACAACAAACTGATAAATCATATAGGCTTACAATAACATTGCACTATTGAAATATTATTTTAGCTAAAAAATGAAATCACTTCCGATGTATGATAATCTCAATGGCCACATTCTGGCCACACGATGGAGCCACAAGCAAGCAAAAATGTGTGAGTTCAACTTTGCTGCAAGAGATGTGTGATATCAGAGGCCTGGGGAATGTTGTTGTAGTTTGTGTTTCTGATATCCAAAAGCGGTTGACTGAAAACACTTTTGTACGTTTGCACAAAGCTAGAGACATTTCATTGTGATGTGGCCGAATGCTATTTCATCCCCAAAGCAACACAGGAGGTTCGTGTAAACTCCATTTGGAATCGTTCAGTCCGTCATAGAGACTGAAGAGAACGGGAGAACATTTTAAAAACTGTTTACACTTTCCCTCATAACTCACAGATTACCTCTCCCCGCATAACGAACGCAGGCCGGGTGCACCGCAGGACTGTAGCTCAGCAAATTTCAGATCAACAGATTTAGAAAGCGAAAGGCTTTGTCACATTACCTAAATCAGTTCTGAATGTGCCCGTAAATACTGACACAGTGTCTGTTCCCCTGACAAAGACAGGAAGCTCGTTCAGAAGGGAGGAGGTCATACAGGAAAGGGCTCTGCCCCCCGATGTTTCGAATGTGAGGAGTAACAACAGCTATTTGTTTTGGAATGTATACATATAAACTCCTCACACCAAGTGGGGGAACGAGCAACGTTTACGTTGTATGATCTGACGTTCACGATCTGAAGTGCAAAATGCTGAAACGAAAGGAAATATTATTGGCTACTCTCGAACATGCAGTACGCTTGAAGACACGAGAGAGTGTAAACATGTGAGTACACTCCACTAACTGCACATAAACATTGAGCAGGTGGGAGAGATGATGACTAACAAACACTTTTCTCACTTTTAATGACTAACTGGAATAGACAGGGGCAGCACAACTCTGTTATTAACCCGATTACTGTCGGAGTTCATTCATGATGTGCTCATTGTGTTTTCATGGGACCTCTGCTCAAATAACTAAAGTCATTTAAATGGCATAGTTAGTACATGGTAGCATGTGCTTTGGTCTCTAAATGAATTAAAAGGACAGTCAAAATTAGAATTTAATCCAGTTGGGTTCCTGCTTTGATTCAGGGAATAAACAAAAACAAGCAGCACTGAAAACCACCTTATGTTTTCCTGCTGCCGATCGGGGTTTTAAATAAAAGAGAGAACAGAGACATTCAAGCGCATGATGGAGCACAGAGAGAGACGGCTGGAGTAGTTGTATCACTGCATTTACCTCTTATATTGTGGCCGTTGTGATTGAGAGGGTTCTGTTAACGTCCTGCAGCTGAAGTAAGCAGCACTCTAATAACAATCTCGGCCCAAATCAAATATTTAGAGTGTCCCGAAGACGATGCTGGAGACGAGACAAAGAAAAGAGGACCCTGACAGTGACGATAAGTTATCATGAATATTTGTATTTTTGTCTGTAAAGATTATGATTGGTTTATTCGTATGAGACGTTGCTTCGCACTTGTATTAAAACATAATTTTCTTCTTCTATTTAATCATTATGGATTTAATTTGGTTTAAAATGCATTTCTTTGACTTTTGCAAAATGAATGTGCTGCCCATGCAATTCAGATTTAGCAGAATAAAACACACCCTCAAGGTGAGCTGTGCTCACAGTTTCATCTCCTCCCTACTTTCTACCGTACCTTCAATAATGTCGACGATGCATCAAGGCTGATATTAAGATCAATTGATCCGTTATAGTTGATCTCATTCACTGCTTCTACTCTAACAGCCGTACCCTGTTGCTAATAACATTAAGACGTCGTCAAAACGTGACACTTGTATAAGTCTACTTACTTCATTGGCTGCGATGCAATCCATCCAAATACTGATGTCGTTTGTTATTCTAGACCACTCGCACACAGCAGCTCGACCAACGTCCCACTAGCAAAAACTGTGTGTGTGAAGTGTTGCCTCTCCTCAATGCCGTGTCACCTCTTTCACAGCCGTTGGAAGTTGCACTTAAATAGTTAATTAGTTTGGGTATTAAGTTTGATTTTGCTTCCCGCCTTCCGCGATCAGAATCAGAACCATTTATTTGGCAAACAAGGAACTTGTCACGGCGGATGGCGCATACATGTCATTTGACAATCAGGCAATAATTTGCAATTAAATTAACAACAGGATATAAAATAATAAACATGGGGGAAGGTGGGACTGCGTTCTTCCTAAAATCCACAAACATCTCCACTGTCCTCAGAGCATTGAGGTTAAAGTTGTTATGACTGTAATATTCTGCAGATTCTGATTGGCTACTACTCCCTGCAGAGGTGTATTGCTATGAACCAGATTGATGGAAGGTAATGACAGCCTTTTTGTGTAATGCTCTCATAATTATATGCATTGTGAGATAAGAATGACTAATTCTATTTTATATCTGCTAATTTCGCAGGTTATTGCTGGCACTAACTAAGGCACATATATAATGTTTACATTTTAAATGGTTGCACAGTTGTGACATCACAGCTCTACACTAATGCTGAAGGGCAAAGGCTAATAAAAGTTCTTGGCTTCATGGATGAAGCCTTTTGATTCTTTCACATTGTTTGTAGCTGCTTTAAATAAAAAAAATGAAAATCTCCCTTTTAACAATAAGGGGCCTTTAAAAACAATGGGACATATGATGGATGGAATGAAGTAACAGATCGGTGGGAGATTCGCATTGTGGCATCATTATTCAACTTTTGGTTAACCTTGCTGTCAATGTCGAAGACACTTTCAAAATGGGTCTTCATGTCAGGAAGTTGCCCGTCGCTGTTCTACAACTGGTGGGACGCCTCATGAGGGGACCCCCCACTGCAGAGCGTCGTTGGTCTTGACAGCGACAGCGATCAAGTGGGTCAACACAGACTCAAGAACTGCGGTTTACATGAATGGATGGTGAAGATGCCTCAGATTGTGTGTGCGTGTCTTTTGAAGCACCGTTACGGTTTCTATTCCCCTTCCTCTCAGCTGTACTCACAACCCTAACACAGTGCAAATAAACAAAGTGGAACACTTTAACAGAGACATACATATGTATGAGATGTAAAATAACATGATCCCTTTGAGCGTTTTGCTTGTCAGCTCTCAGAAGCGGCGGCGTTTGAGCGTGTGTGTGTGCGTGCGCGTGTGCATGTTTTTGCACAACAAAAGTTTCCTTCCTTCTTGTCACAGGTGGCATCTCGTTAGCGGTAAATCACTAAGCTGACATTTACGTCGAACCCAGTCACGCGGCATGTTCTTTCCACTGGAAGTCTGATATCACAGCGAAGCAACGTGGTGTTTGTTCCTGGAGAGAGTTCACACGTGGAAATCATTCCACACACAGTTTAGTGCTTCTCGTGAGCGTGGGGTGGTGACAATTCACAGCTTGTGACAAAATGTCTTGTGAGAGCTATTTGGTTTGCATTCTAATATTAGAAGGCACCCAAAATATAACGTGGCAGAAGCCAGGATACGCAATTGGTGTTTATTGAGTTTACATACGTAATAAGGTCTGTTCCTGCATGAGAAGCAAGTTGCCCTGCACTCTTCTTTGGCTTAAATCAAAAGTGTACAAGCATTTATAAAAAGTTGAGTGCATTTATTATGGAAGTTGAGTAATTTATTGTAAGTTTCTTCAAGCAAAAGCATCTTCCAAATGATGTAACGTAAAAAAAAGAAGAAAGGAGCGAACAAAACAAATAAATAGAACATTTTAGTAAAATAAATTATATGTATACTGTTTTGTGTTTGATGTAATAAAAGCTAATTGCCGGATGGATAAGATACAGCTTTTTCTTTTTCTTTGTATTATATTTTCCAGGTTTGATCTGAGCAGCAGTCAGTGTTCTTTACTACATTTGAGTTCTGATCCTGCTGTGTGTATCATTTGAACAACTTCATAGCTAAAGGTTGGATTGAGCTTCTGTATTTAGTATTTACCATGGTGATGTTTGACGTTTCAATGTGGTTCTTCACGTGGTCGCACATGATATAAAATACACAGTAAATATACTTTGGTCCTCAAAGAATTGCGTTTTTAAATCACCACTTTAATCTACAGCAACGCATTGGGTTCTAGAAACTAATCTGGGACCATTTCGGGAGAAATCAATATGGAAAAGTAAAATACAACAGTTTCCTTTCAAATGCGGTGGGAACAGCTGCCTTCAAGCCGAATGGTGACACGAGTCTTTAGTTTAGCCAGACATTCCCATAATCTGGCATCGAGGACCCCCATGCAGATTGAGATTGGGCCCCCTTGAGATAAGAGTGACCTGCAGCGGCCCTTTACAATAACTGTTTTGGGTTGCACATCTGGAAATGGCGACTGAGCGCCAACACATTTCAGCACGCCGTCATGCATTCTTAACTTTGGACTAAAACGTGTTTTACGATAAGGAAGAAGAAGCAGCCCGGAGGAGTCGGGAGGAGGCCGTGCGTCCCGCGTCGGGAGGGCTCCCCGGAGAGCAGCGCCTCTCCTCGCGCGCAGCCTCCTCCCCCGACGCCCCGCCCACAAACGAAGCCCCTCGTGAAGCGGATAGACAGCAGCGAAGTGTTTGAAACTTTGAGCGAGAGTAGCGTTACACACGCACACACACGCGCCCGCGCGCGTTGGCTTTTAAATACACGTACTAATAACACGCCAGCCTCGTCTGCTTGCCGTTTCCTCTAAAACCGCGGAATTGTGTGAATGTGGAGAAGAGGAGAGAACAACGACGTTTATATCCGCCTCCGCCGCAGCGCCTTCGCCTTCTAACCAAAGCGGACTTTCTGGAGACTCTTCGTGGTACGTTCTTTGGATTTAATAACGCTTTGAATCGCCTTCACCCAACGTTCAGAAGATGTTGTCGCTAGAGTTTAAATAGTGTAGCGGAGAAATGTAAGTGTTGCGTTCACTGAGCCGCCGACAGATCCAGCTGTTGCATCTTGAACGCGTCGACGCGCAGATTTCTGCTTTTTGCGAGCGTGTCCTTAATTAGATGAAGGGAAATAAAGACGGGACGATTCCAGACGCGCTCCTGTGTGACGAAGCGAGGCTTCTAGACGAAATGGGGGTCAGCTAACGGGACTTTATGGGACAGGGTAGACAGTGCATTTGCTAGCAGTAATGTGAGGAGGACTTTGGGTTGAGATGGATTGTCACTTCTTAACAATGTTATCTATCGGATGTGCTGCACTGAGGAAATGTCTCGAGCCTTACTGCGGAACACTGATGCACACTTACTGGGTTACTGTCAAATCTGTGTGCGGAGGAGCATTTGAATGCATCACTTTCATCAGTTACGTCTAGTATTAATACAGAGCTGCACGTAGCATTCATTATTTATTAATGTGTATCTCATTACACAAAGTCTGGAAACAATGCAAAGAAGCACACAGCGATGCTTTTCCAGGTACGTCTCATTTGAGATGATGAAGTAAGGAAATGTTGGTCATAAAAATATATATATATATATATATATTATAACGATATTAATAATATACAGTATTTATAGTATTCTTAAAGTAGTTGCATATTGTTAGTAGTTGCATATTGATTCCCTGTCAATCAGCAGAAAATGCGTATCAATACAAATACTTTAAAGTCACATACACAAAGCGAGAACGTTTTTTATTGTTTGTTTTGTAGTTCACACGTGTCAAAGCTCCATCTGCACGCTGGCTCATTTGGCGAAAGGCGCAGGCAGTGAAACCAGTCCAGGATGTCGTGTTTACTGCAGCTGGTGGCATCTGCTAGGAATGAGGCCCGTGATCAGTCGGGAAGAGCTCATCTGAGGTTTATTCGCTATGACCCGGGACAGCATCAACATATAGATAAACATGTCCCACAAGTCCTAAGGTTTTACGCACGCACCACAAAAGGCTGCTGTGTGCACAGACACACGCCGCCTCAGCCTTTAGCTCTCCTCGCTCACGGCTTTGTGATTACGGTAGCACAGTGTGTGCCCCCTGGACCTACCATCACTTAACTGCAGCATACGCATCCGCGTTGACACCGATACGAGCCTTTAACATCCAAGTGACCACAAGTATGTCGCTCGGTTTCCTCCGTGTGCGGTGCGCTCAGTCCGGGGCCTGGCGTGTTTTGATGTACTTTCCAGATCCTCCTCCCGGGTGGAATAGTGGCTGGGCTTAGACGGTCGGGGTGAATGAGAAGTCACATGAGGCGGTTTGAGCTGTTGCTGCAACAGAACCAGCGGCGTGGTTAAATCCTGCCCACCCGAGCCCTAAACAAATCAGGAGTCGGTACACTTTGCTGCCCTGAATGTACTTTCACAGTTTGTTCAAGTCGTCGGTAAATATTTCCAACCTCTCAATAAAGGTGAGAACACCACTTTGGATGAGCTTCTCCAAAGTTCGACCCCGGCCTCCACCGGCAGAGTGGGAGGCCGCTGTCTCCCAGTCCTTTGATTTGGTCTTTGCCTCTCACCAACACAACAGTTTGGCCTTCGCTTTGTCCAGAGAGGAGAGGAAGGTCAAGCGGCGGCGTAAATCAAAACGAAGGGCGCCGGCTCTCCTTGACTGTCCGAAAGTGCAATATTTGTCATGATCTTCCGAAATGACTTCCCCGGCCCTGCGGCTTCCGCACTGTGAAAGGCCCCTTTGTCCTGTGCAGGCTGCTGCCGCTGCACGGAGCGATGCACCTCGCTGCTTTGTGCATCGCTTCCCACACACACACACACACACACACACACACACACACACACACACACACACACACACACCCTATATGGGTCAACCACCAGTCAGATAGGCGCACATGTGTTTGCTGCTCGGTGAGCTGCTGCAGTTCGTGTACAAGCAGTTTCACTGCACGGTTGTTGGCATGGAGCCCGAAACATTGTTTTTAAAATGATTCACCAGGATACATTTGCACCTATTGCATCTTTGAATAATCCCTCTTTGATCCCTGGTGGGCGTAGATTGTTTTTAGTAAGAAGTCCTGTATTATTTTGGATATTATATTGGTCTGAATGTATACTTTTCAGCCCTTTAATGTCCTCACTAAGAAAGTAGTGGAAACGATTTCTCTGCATTTCTACTTTCTGGGCAATATGAATCCAATATGTTATCTCGCTTGAAATGACTTAATCAGGTCACGTTAGGATCAATACATTTTTCAGTCATGTATAATTACTCAAAATGTGCTCTATCAAACCGTAGCTTTTCTTTAAAGCTTTCTGGAAGTCACAGATCACCCAAACAATAATTCAGTGGGTCCTGTGATCTCCTATCCTTTTGATTTGAGTTGATTTGAAGAATTTTATTTCTTGAACATGTAGACACCAAATAATAAAAAATTTAAAAATCAACATAGACGTAGACCACAAAATGAGAAAATACACCTTTTGTTCAAGAAAAGGAGTAGGGGGAAGCAAAAGCTTATAGATACCCACCCCTTTCTTATCCATACTCTCAATTAGTTTATATTACTTTGAAGATTAATATCATACATACATACACACACTCACACACACTCTCACCCACACACACGCACGCATACTCACACGCACAAATAAATACAATTTAAATTTCCTTCACTTAATATTTTCACAGATCTCATATTTGGCTAATGTGTATAATTTAAGATGTTTTTTGAACTGTGCAATATGTTTACAATCTTTGATCTTATCTGGTAAGTTGTTCCACAACTTCACCCCACAGACCGATATGCACCTGCTTTTGAGTGTAGAGTGCACCTTTGGTTGCCTCAGTTTCAGTCTCCCTCTTAAATTATAGTCTCCTAGTCTGTCGCTAAACCAACTTTGAATGTTTCCTGAGAGTAGGCTGTTTCTTGCTTTAAATACAATCTGTAACATTTTAAAATCTTTCAAGTCCATAAATTTTAATATATTTAATTTCAGAAATAATGTGTTTGTGTGTTCATTGTACCCCACCTTATTAACTATCCGTATTGCTTTTTTTTGAATTGTGCATATTGCCTGTAGGGTGCTTTTGTAGGTATTACCCCACACTTCCACACAGTAACTCAAATAGGGGGCAAACAGTGTACAGTACAGTGTATGCAGTGATTGTATATTCAATATATGTCTGACTCTGACTAGTATCCCTACACATCGTGCCAATTTTGATTGTACACGAGTGACCTGTGGCCTCCAGCTGAGCTTGTGGTCTATCTTTACACCTAGAAAGGAGTATTCAAACACCCTTTCGATTTTTATATTATCGATCATTAGTTCAATGTGTGTGTTTGCTTGTGTGTTACTTTTACCAAAGACCATAAATTTGGTTTTCTTTACATTAAGTGATAATCTATTTATATCAAACCACAATTTCAGCTTGGTTAACTCAGTCGAGACCGCCTCCAACAACTGTTCGAGGTTCCCTCCTTCACAGAATACATTTGTGTCATCTGCAAAAATAACATTTTTCAGGATCCTGGAAGCATTACTTATGTCATTTATATAAATAATAAATAGTTTTGGACCCAGTATTGATCCTTGCGGCACACCACAGGTAATATTTCTTAAGGTGGACTTCTTATCCCCTATCTGTACAAACTGTTTTCTTTGTCCTATGTAACTTTGTACCCAATTTAGTCCAACCCCTCTGATACCATAGCTTTCCAGTTTGTGTAGCAGTGTATCATGGTTTATTGTGTCAAATGCCTTCTTCAGATCTATGAAGACCCCTATTGCCATCTTTTTGTTATCTATTGTGCTTGTCAGTTCTTCTACTAAGTCCATGAGTGCCAATGATGTTGATCGGTTTGGCCTAAAACCATATTGACTATCTATGAGTAATCCATGTTTATCTATGAAACTGTCCATCCTTGTAGCAAATATTTTTTCCAAAATTTTGGAAAATTGGGAAAGCAGGGAGACTGGTCTGTAGTTATTGTAAAGGTTTTTTTCACCTTCTTTAAAAATCGGAATTACCTTAGCAGTTTTCATTTTGGTTGGAAAGAAGCCCGTTTGAAGTGAAACATTGCAGATATGTGCTAGGGGATCTGCTATATTAATAATGACTTCTTTTACTATTGTCATATCAATACCATTCCAGTCTCTTGATGTTTTTTTTTTGAAGTTATTAACTATGGCAATAATTTCATTTTTATCGGTGTCTTTCAGAAAGATAGTATCTGGGTTCCTCTTGCCCAAATAATGTGCTACGCATCCCCCTTGAGGAAGGTTTATCTGCTCAAGGGGGATCCTTCAATAGGATATTCGATAAAAATGTCTTTCTTTTGGCGGTATGATATATGTATTATAATTTCTTGGCAAACCCCCCCCCCCAACTTTAGTAAGTCACATCATCACAATCATTCTGTCGCACACAAGTTCAATTTGGTTTACGTATTTCTTTTTTTTTATGTCTCTTCGCAGGAACTCCACGTTTTCAGTGTATGAAAGTGCACAGACTAATTACCCTAGTTTCAGGATCAGATTACTAAAGTGAAAACTGGAGGCGACGTCATGCTGATTAGCACAGTGCTACTAAGCTGCTTACTCAAAACCCCAGCGGAGCATTCAGTGCTTCCTGGCGCTCTCAATCAACGTGCCGTAATAACCGGTGGCGTGCTCCAAAGGGGTTTCCCACCCGGTCAGCCGTCCCACGCTCCTCACACACTCTGACTGGCGGGGAGCACGGGAAGGTGGCCGCGGTATGCGCAACCCCTAATTAACCGTCCCGGATTAATCCCCCGGGCGCCGAACCTCAGCCTCTCTCGTCTCATCTCATCACACCCACGGGGTTCATTAAGCCGAGCCCCGGTTCCCTGCTCAACACAACACGACCCCCCTGCTTCTCCTGGTTAACGCTCTCTGCCTTTGTTCGCTCTGCAGCCGCCGACTTCCCGCCGACTGCATCGCAGAGAGGGAGGCGCTCGCGTGAAAGGTGCCCGTCCAGTCACCGTCCTCCTACTGGAAGCTGCAGGATGGCTAGAAGACTCCCCATTCCCTGGTTGCTTTTTGCCGCCTTCTGCCTGGCGTCTGCAGGTATGTATACGGCACCTACTGTACACCTGCAAGCCGATGGAGATTTCGCATTCACATTATGAAAATCATGTATTGTTAGTAGGCGTCAAACCTCACGGTGAGTGAGTAAGCAGCGAGCCCTGCAGCGTTGTATTGTCAGACAACCACAGCCCTGGGATTTTCCACAGTTTCTCCCAGCATGCCTTTCTCGACAGTGCTTGTCAGAGTTGAGGGGGATTTACATTCAAGAAAGCGCTGACAAGTTCAATCTCAGGATGCAAACACTAAGCGGGCTTTCGTCAAACTGATTGGAAGGAGGCTCGGAAACCGCCAAATGCCTTGCAAGTTGACAGCAGCTCAACTCGAGGCCGAACAAGAAGAGAGAGAGAGAGAGAGAGAGAGAGAGAGAGAGAGAGAGAGAGAGAGAGAGAGAGAGAGAGAGAGAGAGAGAGAGAAAGTAACCGATGCAACAAAGGTGAAAACAGGAAATCTATGTGCGCTATCGGTGTGTCATATCAGTAACGGTGGGGCTCTGGCTGATGTCACCACTCACCCCGTAGGAGCTTTGTCTAAGCGATGAGAAATAGTGTTCCTCTCACTTTGAGGAATGAGCATGCTACTTATCACCTTTATACTCCCAACAGGCACTTATGAACATGAGCAACGGGTCCCAGAGTGCTTAGACCTTTGTCTGTGACACCCTACCACTTACTTTACTTTGTCCCTGCCAACTCTATCTTCTCCACGTCGCACGCCTTGTTCCTGCTCATCGCCGAGAGGCAACGTCTGGCTTTGTTGTCAGAGCGCTAGAACGTAGGAGCAATGAGTGTTGCTTGGAGCTGAAGGCTCAGATCACCACACTGACATGCTCACAGAGACAATGCCATATAATGTAATGTCTAACTTTCTCATTCGTTTAGTTTGCACATTAACATTTAGTAATCAGCAGTGTCCCAGTTCCATACAGTGCGTCATCCTGAGGTTGAGTTATTTCTTCACTATAGAAAAGAGACGTAGCTGTGCTTTATTTCACCAGAGCAAGGAAATTTGATTTTTTCCCCCTCATGGCTGCAAAAAACCCATTTAGTTAGTGTTGACATGCCGCCAGAAGAAGTTCATAAAACACTAACTAAATTAAACGCTAAACATTTGGAAAAACGCTTTACGGTTTCTTTCATTTAACATAACAAAGTTTTTGTTGTTGCATAAGATATTGAGGTGTTTTGTTGTGTACTACCTGCTGAAATCAAGTCAAATAGACATTTGTATACAGTCAATAAAGGATCAAATTAATGTGGATTTGTGACAGCTGAATCTGAAGCCTAAAATATCAGTAAAATTGAAATTGGACCTGGTAATAGCGGCAGATGAAAGGCAGAGAATCACCTTTGAGCGGACCTGCATCTCTCCAGGGAGTTTTATATCATATAATTGTGGAAATGTTCTACTCTGAATCAAGCCCTAGCCTATTTGATTAAGATACATGCATGTGTGTACTGAATTGTACCATCTTTCAACATATTGGCAGACGCTTCATCCTGAACCGAAATGTCAACCTGCTGGGGGCGATAGATGAAAGTCAGGAAGTCGTTAGGATGCATCCTCTGGGGACCATTAATGTCTGTATTACATGACAGGTTGCACATTATTGCTTTAACATTACAACCTGTTCGGTATGGTAATAGAAACACCAATACAGGCAGCCGGTGTGGCTTTGCCCTTCCATGGCAAAGCCCAATTGAAAAGGATCATTCAGCATTGTTGTTCTCAGCAGTAATGACACAGTTGTCAAAAAAAGGCAAATTCATTCCTTATTTCATTGAAGTTCTTAATGCGTAAAGAAAAGTTGTTTCTGGAAGTTGTGGCCATAGATGTACTTTATAGAAATGGTCCAAAATTCACTATCAGTTGTAAGCGCTTGTTCAAAATGTTCATTTTTTCTGACCTGAGCTGACATTCTTGATGCAAAATCTGTCGAGCTGGCAACAGTCGAACCACTCTGCTGTGCATTCCTCTTCTTCAAATTGAGATTTATCGTTTGCAGAGACGGGTTTCACAACGAACGCTTCGCACTTGAACTCGCTCCATCTTTAATCTGCAACATCCCGTGTTGTTTTTCCACGGTAGTACGGGAATAATTACCCCCCCGTAGGAGGCGTGACGCAGCGCTCCAAAAACAAGTGTTTGCGTTTTTTTGTCCAGCCCTTAGTCTGATTGCCGCCATAGGTTATTACTCAGAGAGTTCTTTTCTCCTCTGTGGAGGCTGGAGCTGCTCTCCGGGAGGCTGACCGCTCCTCGGACAATGGCAGGGGAGTCGGCGTGCGCGCTGGGCAGAGCAAACATTAGTTCCACCACAATGCCAGGATCTCCCGCACAATAAAGTCACGTATGAAGTTTTCCTCAATTCTTCCTCATGCGGCGCGAAGCATTGTTGTACGGTGTCACAAGGGACAGATATTTACAGATCGTCCACCAAATGCCCTTTCCCCCAAAGTGCCCTGGCAGCGGGAGCACTCTGTGATTTATGGACAACATTTCAAATGCTCTAAAGCGGATATTTTTCAAATGGTTAGGGGGCAGTCCAATATTCACTCATTTTTTATATTTTAGATATTTTTTCCATTAAAGTAACTTTCCCTCTATTTGTCCAAGTGAATTGTCAGCCTTCCAATTTTGTCATCTATTGTTTTCTTTTTTTTCTCACACTAGCACTCCAGCTCTTTCACATCTCTGTCTCTCTTTTTCTGCCTATTTTATCTCGCAGCATCTGCGTAAACAGTCACATCTGCCCACTAAACTTGTCAGGAGGGCTTTTACGTAATGTTTAGATTAGTCTGCAATGAGTCTTCTCTCGGCGTGATGCCATCCAAGATCCGGGCCTCCCGTAACCCTTAAAAGTCGGGCGGAGAGCACCGTGACGTCCGTATTTCAAGGCTCCGTTCAGCCGCTTCGCTCTGTGCTTTTATTTAGCTCTTTATAACTTGCCCACTATCAGTGGTTGCCTCTCCCCAGCTTGAGGAAAAAATGTATATAAACATCTGGGCAGAGTTTGGGTTTCACTGAGGAGAGTCTTGCAGGAGCCATTGCATGGTACTGATTGGCCAGAAACAGCAGCGGCAGGATGCTGGTTGTACTGGAGGCACGACGGCTGGCTGGTGAGTCGCTGAAAAACACATCAGGTTCAGCAACAGATGAAGCACTTTCCCCTCCTCCTCCTCCTCCTCCTCCTTCTAAAGCCTCATTCTTCTCCTGCTCATTCTTGATGATTGATGGAGCTATTAGTGCAAATGTGTCTTCGGCGTACTCATTGTGGAACCTCATAGTCTTACGGGATTGTTAATAAAACAAAAGCTGGAAAAGGGTATTTCGTGTTGCACACAATCACAGCGCGTATACACTCAGCGCATTAGCGTAAACCAGTTTCTCTCCATCTGCATTTGTGTATGCCGTTGGCCGACACCAGCCACTGTGATGCCAAATGTGGATTCCAGTTCTCCCCTTGCCCCTAAGAGCTTTGTCTCCATATGCACAATGCCTTTAAAAAAGGGCCAGCAAGAGGGGGGACTGCCTAAAAATGAATTGTGCAACCGCTGTAATGTGAGAGTGAAGGGGGGGGGGGTGCTGGCGGGGGCCGGTCTGCTCCAAATCGACACACTCCACACACGTACAGCGTGCCAAACCGACAGAGTCCCTTCCAGCGCGCTAAACCAGATGTTGCCCCCGTGATTGATGCAGAGGAGCCGGAGCGGCGCAGCACAGAGTTTGGGATGTTTACCTAGCAACGGGAGTCTCGGGTCTGGGTCGTATTAAAGGTCTAGCCCCCCCCCCGCGGAGATGGCTCCCTCTCAACAGCACTGTCGCGATGGTCCTGTTTGTGTCTTCTGCTTATTGAATGAAAGTCCCCCCGGCATTACCCGCTTTCATTAACATTAGTGCACCGATGAGATGGTGGATTATTGACTTTGACTGTGTCTGGGAGAATGAGCAGACCGGTGTTTCACGGAGAGAAAAGTATCTCTCGTTTATATCTCGCCGGCCTCCTAAGGGGACGCTAATGCAAATCTGCTGGAGTAAACTGAATCCCTCCCCCTTCACTCTCTCTATCCCCCCCCCCCCCCCTCCCTCCCACTCTCCCTCTCTCTCTCTCCCTACTTCCAGTAAGCAGGCGTGTAAATAATTTTGGTCAAAGCCAGTAATGGGAGACAGCTGTGGCGATCGTGCCTTTTCCATTGTGTTCTATAAAAAATAAAAAGGCAAAGAGAAGGCTGCTGGAGAGTTGGAGTAAGAGGCTCGTGCAGAGTGTGACTTTGTTATAGAAAGAGAGAGTAATTGTACTAAACTCCCTCTAGTCAGACAACCTTCGGAAAAAAGAATCCTTTATGCTGCTGCGTCGGTTTGGTTGTTGTTATTTCTCAGCCGAAACCAGGGCGCGTTTACTAGAACTGAAGTTGCTAATGAAGCTGCGGAGGTGCCAACTTTCCAGCGCACGACTCGTTATCTGTAAAATAAGTCCTAATATGGGATAGTGGGCTGCTGAGGTTGTCTCTCCTCCTGGGGCCTCACCTTCCCCACTCCCTTTCCACCAGACGAGTTCCGCCGAAAGACCATGGCCCACATTCAGAGTGGCCCTCTGGAAAACAAGACGGTAGGTCCAAAAGATGAATTTACGCCCCTTACTTTGGCCGAACAGACATTTGGGTTGGATGACAAACACACTTGGAAATGAACAAAATTGCTTTCCAGTTTCTAATAGACAGTTTTTGTGGTTAGCCATTAGCTTCAGTGGTATGGCCTTTGAGAAGCACTGTAATAGGCTGTTATGGTAGCTGGAATATAGCCCTGTCCTTATTTGAAGCATCTGCACAATACAAGAAATTCATAGAAGTGCCTATTTAAAAGCACATCACTGTATTGCACATGTGTAGAATCCCCTCAGCCTTGCATAAATCATCTACTATCTTTTAACGTTTTTGCTGCTGAGCGTCTATTCATAGTGTATTTATGGTCTAGCGTACGTTGCA